CAGACAGTCAGTCAGTAAGACAGACAGTCAGTCACTCAGTCAGTCAGTAAGACAGACAGTCAGTCAGTCAGTCAGACAGTCAGACAGACAGTAAATCAGACATTCAGTCAGTCAGTAAGACAGACAGTCAGTCAGTCAGTAAGACAGACAGTCAGTCACTCAGTCAGTCAGTAAGACAAACAGTCAGTCAGTCAGGAATTCACTGGGTCAGTTAGTTACTTCGGTTGGTCAGTTAGAGGAGATCTACAGTCTCTAGTCTGCAGCCTCTAACTAAGGGGGTCTTCAGCCTCTAACAGAGGAGGTCTGCAGGTGAAGAGAGGTTCAGTGAGTCCTGGACCAGCACGTCTCAGCAGATGGGCCTCTGATGGAGGTTACTGGATGTCACTGTTTATGGAGACTGTTTAATTGGAGGCTGTTTGTGATGGAGGAAGGAAACCGTTTGGAGTTTGTTCATGAAACTGAACTTTGTGTCGTCTTTCATGAAGGTTTGGATCTGATGCAATAAAGGGAAACTGTGACGTATTCTTTTTTGGGCCTTTATCGGACAGGACAGTAAAACAGAGAAATGTGGGGAAGGGCCTGCAGCCAATGAGTCACCGGCTGGACTCAACCCGCTGTAAACTGTGGCCCTGTTCTTGGGTCGCCGTTGGTCCCAACCATGAAGCTTTCTGTCCCAACAGTTTTCTGACTGAATGTCCTTGCTGTCATCGCTCAGCCTTTTGTGTTGATATAGAAAACGAGAACTCACTTTGTTACACCTGGCCCCGCCCACTGACAGAGCTCATTGGATGGGAGTCAGGTGAAGGAGGATGAAACGATGAATCTGACTGACTGGAGGCTCGCAGCAGAACACAGAGGCTCAGTTTGGATGAAGCGATCCGTCGTCCTTCAGGTGAACCTGGTCAGGAGAAACCCATTTCCTCAGCAGTGTCCGTCCTCCTCTTCCTGTCCGCTGGGGAAACCCGATGCTTTGCTCTCCACCACAGAGCTGAACCGGCTGCAGAGCAACATTTATTATTGATCAGGCGAAGAGGCAGAAGATGGAGCGAGAGCAGCACTGTGTAATCCACTCTTTCTGCTCAGTCATGCTTCAGAGCAGCTCTGCAGCAGTGATCAGACTGTAATGGAGGACAGACTGCTGATGGTGGAGTGCAGAGTTTATTAAACCGTAAAGAGAAAGAGAAGCTCAGTCACATTTAGGGCAGAATGCTTCCACAAAGCCGCTAATGGCCTCAACTCGGAAATGACTTTGTGAAGAGTGAACTTGTGCTGCTTGGTTTGTTCTGACCAGAGACGCTAAGTGGCTCAGAGTAACGTCACTCTGCAAAAAGTCCACTCAAGCAAACTTCAGAAGATCGTGTTTCCTCAGCTTGGGCTGGTCTGAGCAGATCGAAGCCCACTGATCACCTGCAGACTCGATCCCACTCTGCTCTGGCGTCAGTAATGGAAACAGCAGAGTGACTTGTAGACCTGCTTGAAAAACTGTCTTCCTAGTTTTTAGTGCCTTTCGCTGCCAGAGGCTGTCTGACACGTGTGGCCTTTAACTTCTGATGAGCCTGATGGCCGTCTGAGATCAACAGACAGTTAAACGTCGCTTCTCTCTGGTCTCCATGGTTCTGTTGACAGAAGACGTGTCTGAGTTCTGTCTCCTCCTTCATGTGGTTCTGGTTCCTCAGAGCTGTAGGACTTGATGCTGGAACATGAACCAGTGAAGGAGCAGGAGACAGGAGCTGAGTTCAGAGGGTTAAAAGTGCAAAAAACAAACTGGTGATTGGAAACAGACTCAGTGAGAAACAACACGAACCTTTAAATGATGAAACGAACTCACAATCATGACGCCTTCATGAGCGAAAATAAAGAAAATCCATCAGTGATTCAACTCAAATCTGTTTGATGTGCAGCTCAGATTCTGCAGCGGGATCCAAACATGAGCCACAAACACCATGAATGTGAACGTCAGCGAGTTTCATGCAGTCAGCGAGTCGCCTGCAGCGACCTGAAGACGCTGTTGGAGAAGCGTGGCCTCGACGGTGCAGCTGCAGGTCAAACATGACCTTCAGTCATCCAAAGGATCCTTTTTATCCTGAAGCTGCTCATATCTGACGTCTGTAGCCTTCAGACTGAGGGTTGAAAACAGAATTTATCACTGTGGCCTTTGTTTGTTGTATTTACTGCTTTAGACAAAAATCATCAGATGAATGAACTTGGAACAGAAGTAACTGTTGCGGCCTCTGAAACCTTCAGGATCTGATCTCATGACCTTTCCTCCACCTCAGGACACTTCTGTACTTTTACTGAACCGTAATGTTTCAATGCAGAACTTGTTCTTTGGATTATTTTTACTGCAGTAACAGAACTTTACCTTACAGCTGCAATGTGAGAGTAATTATTTGATCTATTTAACCTTCATTTAACTCGGGAAGCTCTTGAAATTAAAGACAGTTCTAAAGTTAGGGAGGGTCATAAAATCAAGCGACATGAGACCAAAGCACATCAGAACTACGAAGCAATGCAGATACTCCAAACCAACAACTGGATCTAATCAGAGCTTTGAATTCTGTTGGGGACAATAATCATGCAGCTTTAATGTTTTTGAAGGTTCCTCCAGGACCAGAGAGCTCCATAGAGTAAATCCTGGACCACAGTCCTGAGACCTGCTGGTGGACACATCCCACACTCGAAACAGTCTCTGTCTGATACCATTTATTTACATCTATTAATATCTATTTATATCTATTTACATCTATTAATATCTATTAATACATATTTACATCTATTTATATCTATTAATACCTATTTAAATCTATTTATATCTATTTACATCTATTAATACCTATTTATATCTATTCATATCTATATCTATCTGACACTATTTTCCTCGGTAACACAAACGTCATGTACCATAGTCCACCTGCAGTACCTGGTTGTTCCACCAGGGGGAGTCTCTCACTGTTTAATCCTGTAGAGACCAGAGGAGGCGTCTACAGACTACAGCTCATGGTGGCAGCAGAGAGCATTGTGGGTGTTAAACAGCAACGGGACCATGACAGAGACTCTGAGGAGGTTCAGGATCTCCAAGCAGAACTCAGGAGTTGAAGACAACTTGGGATCAGCAGAGTTCCTGGATCAGTAAAGCATGGACCAGAACTGACCAGGAACCAACCAGGAGTCTGTGGACTGAAGCAGCACTTCTGTGACAGCAGACATAAAGAATCGGGTTCAAGCTAATACTCATCAGTTAAAAGATGAGATCAGAACATTCGTAGCTGCTCCATGGACTCTTGTCCACGGTGAGCAGAAACGAGACCAGAATAAAACACCAGCCATGAACTGCTGCTGGAGGTTTAGAGGCTGAAACCAGTTCAGCCGTGTGTGTCCAGGACAGCTCTTCTGGAAATCACAACTTTTATCTGAAGAAGACAAATGTGTGAGTTTAAATAAGATCCAGTCAGATGCAGGTTCTAAAGCTCTGAGTCCATGTGGGTGAGTTTGGGTGAGACGGGGGAGTGAGAGTGTGTTATTAAGTCTGGTCTATGTCAAAGAGGTTCCATTAAATCCACAACGACTGACATTTAGTGGAGTTCTGCTCTCAAGAAGACGATTAACCTGAAATGAATTATCAGAGTTGACTCTGAGCTGCTGGTCTGAGGAACAGGATGAGTGATGGTCCGGTCCTGACCCGCTACGGCCACAGCTGAGTCAGGCTTTCACAATTTCTAAGTTAAAATGACACCAAAAAGTCTTTATTTTACAGATGTTTCCTGTTTGATGAGAACAGAATGATGGAGCTGTCGTAGAAAAACATGCTCGAGGTTCTGATGAACTGGTTTTGGTCATGAACTTTCCAGTGATTTATTTCACTGAGGACACTTGGTGCTGCAGACTGCCACCTTCTGTGGAAGCTGCAGCTCTCAGACTGTCCTCCAGGACTCAGGTCCAGACGTTGTGCAGCTGCGTTGCTTTGTGTCTCCTGCTGGTGGGTCTGTATATATTCTACCTTCTGCTTCAATAAGAAAGCTGTTTCCAGGAGCAGAACGATCCAGTGTGGATGCTGATGTCCGACTGCTGCAGCGGGATGGAGTTCATGTCGAGTTGGACTGTTCAGATGAACTAAATGTATTCTGGGTTTTGGCTTTTCTTCTGCATCATTCATTTGCTGAACAGACATTTCTGGGAGTTTGACAGATCATTGAGAAGTTGGGGATGTCTCCAGTGTGGCCAGCAGGGGGTGCCACGGAGAACAGAACAAACTTTGGGTTGGATTTGTTGTTAGAAAGTGTGAAGTAGAGAATTCACCGAATAGCGACGCGTCGACTCAGCGACACGAGACGTTTATGAACTGTTGGATTAATTGTTCTCGTCCGTCTCTTGATTTTCTGCTGCTGCAGACTTGAGCTGATCAAAAATCTGCTGCAGACTTGAGCTGATCAGTAATCTGCTGCTGCACCACCCTAACCCTGCAGTGGAGGTTCCAGTCTTCAGACCCACAGTGACTTTGTGGACGTCGGTGTTTAAACGAGGCTCAGAGACTCATGAAGGTCTCGGTCAGGCCTTTATTGTACATATGTATGGTTATCACGAGCTGGCTGGGTCACGGTTGTCATGGGTTAATTAGGGTTATCAGGGTTAGTTAGGGTCAGGGTTGTCATGGTTATCAGGGTTGTCAGGGTTGTGATGAGCTGGCTGCATGTCTGCTGCACTTCTCAGTTCAAAACTCCACAGAAAGCCTTCGTTCGTCTTTTTCACTCCACACTCGTATGAAACTCGTTGTTCCACTTTCCCCGGTGCAGCTTTCCCAGACGAGGACTTTGTCTGAGCGGAGCCTCCACAGCCTGCAGACATGAACCAGGACCGATGTTCTGGTGCCTTCAGCTGTAAACAACCAGACATGGGACTTCAGAACCCGGTTCTAACAAAGTTTAATGTTTTTCTCCTGTTCAGAAGCCGAACAAACTGATCAAACATTTGTCGGTTGTCAGCAGGTTCAGGACTCGCCCAGTAAACGAGGAAGGCTTCACTCAGCTGAAGGACACGTTGTGATGTCGGTACCTCAGGTGTTAGCTGCTGGAAGCTCGTGTCCCATCATGCACTGCGGCAAAAGGCGTGTGGTCTCCATGGTGACAGTTTAACACTGATGATTGTTTATCTGCCTTCAGCCAACCAGCGAGGAGGATCTCTGCCCCATCTGCTACGCCCACTCCATCTCAGCCGTCTTCAAGCCCTGCTCCCACAAGTCCTGCAAGTAAGTCCCCCCCACACACACACACACACAACAGGTACACAACTACAGGTACACAACTACAGGTACACAGCAGGTACACAGCAGGTACACAGCAGGTACACAACTACAGGTACACAACAGCAGGTACACAACTACAGGTACGCAGGAGCAGGTACGCAACTTCAGGTACGCAACTACAGGTACGCAACTACAG